TCTCTCTCTCTCTCTCTCTTTGTCTCTCTCTCACTGCTAATTTTCTTTGTTTTGAAGTCCATTTTATCTGATATTAATATAGCTTTCCTTTCCTTTGATAATGTTTGTGTGACATATCCATTCTATCATTTTACTTTTAATGTGCCTTTATTATATTTTAGGTGAGAATTTTGTAGATTTGTATATTAGGGCTGTCATTTTATTATTTGTTTTCTGTTTTCCATTCTTTTTTTTTTTTCCTGCCTTCCTTTGGTTTACTTGAACATTTTTTAGAATTATCTGTAGTCTGTAGTGCTTTGATTTATCTATAGTGTCACTTGAACACTTGTAGAATTCCATTTTGAGTTATCAAGAGTGTCTTTGAATATATCCATAGTGCTTTTAAATTTTTCTATGATGTTTGTATAGCATTTTTAATGGTTGCTCTAATGTTATATATACAAAATTTATCAGTCTACTGGTATTGTCATTTTACCAGTTCAAGTGAAGTATAGAAACCTTACCTCCCTTTCTGTCCCTCTCCCCTCTCCCATTTACAATACAGTTGTTCTAAGTATGTCCTCCACATGCATTTAGAACCGCATCAGATAGTATTATAGCTTTTGCTTCCACCATCAAACATAATTTAGAAACTCAAGAGAGTAGTAGTATTTGAAATTTTTAATAAAAAGCATAATTTATAAGATTCATAATAAATAAAAAGAACCAATGGGCATTATGCTGAGTGAAATAAGTTGGAGAGAAAGACAAATACCATCTGATCTCATATGTGAAAGGAAAAAAAAAGAAAAAATCTCATAGATACAGTGAACAGATTAATAGTTGCTGGAAGTGGTGATGGGGACAAAATGAGTGAAAGGGTCAAAAGGTAGAAACTTCCAGTTATAAAATAAATGTCATGGGTATATAATGTACAGCATGGTGACTATAGTTAATAATAATGTATTGTATATTTGAAAACTGCTACGAGAATAGATTTTAAGTGTTCTTATCACAAGAAAACAGTATTTTTGCAATTGTATGGTGACTAGATTTATTGTGGTGATCATTTCACAACATATACAAATACCAAATCGGTAGGTTGTACACCTAATGTAACATAATACAATGTTATATGTCAATTATACCTCAATAAAAAATCAAGAAAGGGGAAATTGTTACAAGAAAAGTGCAATATTCTAACCAGTGAAATTTGCCAACTAACAACCAAAATTTAAAAATGTATACATACCATGTTAGTATATACCCATCGCGACCTGATTCTTTCCCCTCAACACACAGGAATAAATGAAGAAGAGGAGAAGAAAAAAGCAAAAAACAAGGAGAAAATCAAGTTGAAAAAAAAAAGGAAAAGGTATTTTTTTTTAATATCACTTTTTAAAAAGCAGAACTGTGAATCCAGGATGGATTATAAAATATTTTCATGCATAGTCCAGTTTATTTGACATTATTATTATTATTTTTAATGTGAGTTAGATGCTCAGTTGTTTCAATAAAATAAAGTCCTTCGTGTCAGGAATCAAAAATAAAGTCAACACTCAGACACCTTAAATTTTCTTTTTGGAGCAAATGAAGGTATAAATACATAACATGCCTCCCCTTCTTTTATGTCTTCTACTTGTATTCTATTTTAAGTTTTAGAACATCAGCTAATCTTTTAATGAGACATATGTTTAAATTCTTCACGTATATATTTTATCCTTATGTATATGAAGTTGGAGCCTAAATATTTGTATTCTCAATATCATTGCCATGTCTAAGAAATTAATTTATTAATTGAATTTATGTATTCACTTGTCATGCTAAAAATTCCTTTAGGTCTTTCAGAACCTTAGTCAGCCACCTATGAATTTTTATATCAACTCTTTTTTAACTATTAGCTAGTTAAAGAAATTGATGAAAAGAATTAAGAAGCAACTTTTTCCGTGGTTAATGAGTGCAGTTTCATTTATACTAGAACAAACATGTACATGCAGACATTTGTTAAGGCACTAGGCACTGGTAACGTCTGGCGTGGACCCTAGTTCTTTGATTCTGCAAATCAGGTGGTGTCACTTTGCAGTTTTTATAGAGCACTTAATAACATATGCATTTTCACAACTCCACTATTTTATAAATTGGAATAGTTAGCTTATTTCAAGTGCTGGGAATTAAATAATAATCTTCAATATAAAAACTAAGAGTTAGAGCTCAGTGTATCATGTAGTCTGACTAGTATATTGTTGAATCATTTGCATAAGCACAGCAAGGTGGATTGCTTATAGGAAAAGTGAGATTATCTGTTTTCTTTCAAATTCTAATATACTTGTTTTATAGCAACAGAGTATTTATTCTAGCCTCTCTATCTTGGGCCTCACAGACCTCAGACAAGGCCTGAAACTATATGAACTTTCCTAAGGCACGCTTAGCAGAGATAATGACACCTAATAGAGTTGCTGTGCCGCAGTCTAACATTTTGCCTTAAAAATGAGAATCCAGGACCAAAAGGCCAAAGAAAAATGTGCAGGCAGAGAAGCTTTAGTCAGAATCAAGAGGTCAAGCAGGACCTTGAAAACAGGAAAACAGAGAAGAGCTGAGAATAACAGAGTTGAAGAGAGAGTGGAGAATACATGAGAAAATAAGCTCAGAAAATTGCCAGAAGTCTAAGTAGACAAGAGGAGAAAAGAACACATTACAGAAATGGGGGGATGCAGCCAGGAGTTCACACGCATTATTACTCTGCAGACGCAGCCTTGTGGTCTCATGCGTTAGCTTTTCTCCTCCTGTATGTCTCTCTCCAGTTTTCTTAGATCGAGTTTTAGCTTTTGATGACTAGATCACTGAACTGTCTCTTGAGATGCTGCTTATATTTTAAATGAGCTCACTTTCTGTCTTGTCACACGTAGTTTGAGTTTGGGTGTGGGTAGATTGTTGCACACCTCTTCCTGTAAAATATATTAAGAGATGGCTTTTTCTGTTTTTTGTTGTTTTTTTAATATTAGAAGAAGGAATTCTACAGCTTTTTCCAATTTAATATTACAGTAACATTAGAAAAATAAAGTATAATGATAAATCATCCTCATTCATTTACATAGAGCATTCATTTAAAAGCATTTTTTTATGTCTCTAGTGAAATTATTTTGGAATGCAATTGTTCATCTGTATCACTATCTAGAGGAATCAAGTACTTTAACTTGAAAAATCAAAAGAAACAATAAAAGTGCTTTTATTTTGCTAATTTTCAGCTTTCATCCATTTATACTGAGGTATAATTATACCCCTTTTTATATAATTGCATCCTTTTGTAGCTCTTTTAGTAGATATGCTAACAAGTTATTATACATACGCAAGTTATTATACATACGCAAATATATAATGAGGCTAGGTAAATGCCACTTCGTGTTTGCCTTATAAGATTTTGAAGGGTACGACAGGATGAAAAACGGAAAATCAGAAAAATCATTTCATCCTTATTGAATTTAAAACTTATTACAAGAGGGCCGGCCTAGAGGCTCAGTTGGTTAAGAGCTCGCTCAAGAGTGTGAGCTCTGAGCAACAGCGGTTCGAGTCCTGGCTCGAGCTGAGCTGCCAACAGGTGGCAGGATGGCTCAGCTTAAAAAAATAAAAAATTAAAAAATTAAAAAAATAAATTCAAAAAATAATAAATTATTAAACAAAAAACTTGTTACAAGAGTTAAGCAGAATAGAGATACTTGTTTTGTCAGTTTCTGTGACCAAGTAGCAAAAATTCTAGATTCAGCATTTTAAGAGACTACAAATATAAACACATGAGTTTCTTTGTTTATACCCCCACCTTGCTCCAAGGAGGCTCTAAAGCAGTTCAAATCCCATTTGAATTTACCTATCAGCTATAAATGCAGTTATCAGTCAGTATATATTATTGCCCATAGGTCTTATTCATCCGGTTCCACTGAAGAGGACTCTTCAAAACAAAAGAAACAAAAATATCAGAAGAAAGAAAAGAAAAAAGAAAAAAAGAGTAAGTCAAAAAAGGGGAAACATCACAAAAAGGAAAAAAAGAAGAGAAAAAAAGAAAAGCATTCTTCCACTCCTGACAGATCTGAAATCTCCAAAAAGTAACTGAGACTATGGCTAAGTCATTAAATTTAAAAACTTGGTTTTGAAATCATTTGACCTTCCTTGGAATTTGCTGTATAATTATGCTTTGCAGTAAATCACAGCCTTTTCCATATAGACATTGTTTTCATATATGGGACCATTATCCTCTGGCAATATATTTTTAATGTGTTATGACTATAGAGTATTGAATCAGTGTTATCACTTAATAACCATGACACAAGTCTGGATATCTGTACAAACACATCCTTTTTGGTATTTGTTCTCTGTGTGTCTGACTAGTGTTATTGCTTCATAAGTTGATTGTAAATGGCTTCACTGACGTCAACACCGATAATCTACCTAGCAGTTAATGAGTATTCCTGAATCAAGTGCCCGCCTTCCAGTGATACAGTGAGGTAGGGGATAATGTTTTGCTCTTGACACTGATAAACTTAATACCTTTTTATAGCCAATGATAATGTAGGAAGATAGTGAAATCCTTCACTGTTTTTAAATCTCTAGCCTTTTCTTTGGATGTCATAGGAGATAGGAGATAAGACTGCTTTATTGGTCTGGATTAGGACTTTTTAAATAAATGGTATTTGCAGTAAGATAATGAAAATATTTATAACAAAGTTTCACTGTCTTCTGACATGCAGAATTTCTAGTACCTGCCTCCTTTGTTTTTGTAACAATTAAAATATATCTTCCTGTTTAAAAAGATAAGTCTAGGTCAGTCTATTAGTCACGTAGAGATGATGCTGTGTTGGGCAGGATTTTTAGGATAGACTCCTGGGTTGTACAATGTGCCATATTGGCATGTCTTAAAATGATACCTCAAACACAGAACTTTTTATTTAGGAGAATGACAGCTAAATATTCATTAAAATTGACTTTTATTGTATTCAGTATGTAAATTTTATGATGCTTGTTTCTATGAGTAATGTGGAAAATTTTTATAAATGTGAACATGTGTATTTATTTCAAATAATTTGTAATTTTGAAGCAGGTCTCACATTGAATTTATGACTTCATAAATGACCAGTTTGGGGTGTTTCTCTTTTACTTTAATCATAAACCTCAGGAGCAGTGACAAAAATTTAGGATTAAGTATTTTATTCTGTACTTTTTAAATTTTAAAGCCAGGGAGTTGCATCATGAAAGTCTTTATATAACATGGAAATTTTATATAGGTGAGCATTTTCAAACACATATTGGTAGATATAAATGTTTCTTAAATTTTTAATTTCAGCAGTGATCAGTGTAGTTACTTTGCTTAACACTTGGGTATCCCTTATGCCCAATAAGTTAAATACTTACTGTAGCAGCATCAAGTCAGTCAGTTATCATGGCACATAGCACCAAAGATTGCAAGTACCACACTGTGGTGCAATTACAAATTTTCAAATTGGTAACCTACAGACATCGCTGCAGATGAATTCATTATGATGAAATCAAGTAAGTACATGTAACCTTACAGGCCGGGAAGGTGTGCGCTATTCCTTCACCCAAAACCCCTACCTGGCGTGACCTCAGAAAGAGTAGAGGAGCCTCATAACTCCTTTGAACATATGCTTACCATGCTCAAATTCTAGGGGTGCTATACCCACATCCCTATTGTGGCCTTATGGCTATGGGAGCTCTCACACTTCTAGCTTTTCATAAGCTAAGTTAGTCATATGGCCTCCTCAAAAAGAAATTACCTTGATTAAATAGTTTAGTCAGTTGTTTGGAGAGAAACACAGAGCTATTAGGTTTTTAAGCATTTTTATTATTATTTTTTTTTGCCTTTGCTGTATTTTATGCTGTATTTTTGAAAACCATTTTATGAGAATGCAGTTCTTTGGCTATCAAGATGAAAAAAATAAGTTAAAAAAAAACTTTAAAAAGTGATTGGAGAATGCTGCATGAAAAAGGATAGCCTCATCCCATTGAGTGTATAATATGGTTAAAAATGATAATAACTATTGTGAACAGAGTTAATTTAATTTTTATTTAAATTTAAGTCTAATTTGTAAGTTTTATTTCTGTTATAGAGATATAATTTGGCTCATTACATTTGTTTCTGAATGGTGACACAGTAATGGTTCAGAAGAGTTATATAAAATTCAGCCCTCGTTAACTAATATAGGATGCAAATTAAAAGATTTTAATTCTCAGTAAATGTTTCTCCCAGAAACAATCTTGGAATTATTCTTAAGTAAATTTTCCATCATTTGAAATTAGTTTATGGAATGTCTCATCTGAATAAAATTCATTTTTACTAAAGTAATTTTTTTTCTTCTAAAGTGATCCTCTTATTATTATTGGGATTGGATGCAAATCTCACTGATATATTTTAGAAGAAAATTAATGAAGTTTCCTCTCAGGCAGTATGTAGCAGAAGGAAAACTGAATTGAATAGTAAAAATTCAAAAAATCCTGTACTGTCTAACTACCTCTGTGACCTTTAGCAAAGTCATTTTAGCTTCTCTGGGCCATGGTGTCTTTCATCTATAAAACATTGAACCATATTATCCCCAAGATCCTTTCCAGCCTTTAATATATATGAATAATGATATTTTAGTAAAATTCATGTGGTATTGTTCATTTTAGAAATTACTACAGATAAGCAGGTAGCATTCTGTGATGGTAAAGGTTGAATTTTTTAACATAACTGTCAAACACATTCAACTTCTTTAAGTAGGTAAATGATATTTGGTTCACATGGTTACCACACGATATATGTCATTTTCACTAGATGCAGGCAGAATTTATGTTAAGATTTGTATCTGTAACCACATTATCTAAACACTGAAGCTCTTGCTTTTGGGCTGATGGACCTACTCCTCACATAATTTCCTATTTCTTTTCTCCATTTTATCTGTTGGCTAAAATCTCTCAGAGTTTCTTCAGTTGTCCACACTTAATACATACCTATTTACATCTTTGGTCCTCTAAGCCCAAAACATCAGCAAACAAGGAGTAAAACAGCTGTATGTGTCTATGGTTTCATCCATTTCTCAAATCCACAAGTTTTAAAAGATGAAATTGCTGTCATTAGAAGGCTACATAGAAAATAATTTGAATCTTTATGTCTTATGCCTTATTATTTGTACCCTTTCTTCTAGACCCACTTTTCTGAGATCTGATTATTACCAGAAATGTGTTTTGTTTCTAATTTTATTTTAGATTATTTTGGACTGACAGTTTGGTCACTATGTTAGCATTTGTTAGGTCCAAATAAATCACTTAAAAATACTTTTCAGTGTACAGACTGTGGTAATTTGATAAGGCTTCTTGCTTTTAACATTTTGTCTCAATCCCTGAAGCCTCAGTTACAGACACATGCCAGTTGGTACTGGATGAGCCCATGGCTCTCCCGCAGGTAACCTGCGGTGGCTCGGAGTGTCTCAAGGAGTCCAGCTGACACTAGTGGTGGGTTTCAATCTTCTTGGGCAGTTGGCATCCAAGAACAGTAGCTTTCTTATGCCAGCATGATGGTAATCCCACTTGTAGAATCCAGGGTCTTCTGACCTCATTGGTCTTCTCCCAACTCTTCTAAAAATGTGCAGAGTGCCAGGGAATTGGGGTGCCTCCCCCAGAGCACAGCCACGATGCACCCATCCAGGCCTGACCCCACACCTGGCCCACAGGGCAGGAGGAGTCTCAGGACCATGAGCATTGGCAGCTCCTAGTGTCTTGTATGGCATCTGCCCTCGCCTTTGAGCAGCAAATGTAGAACTGTGCCAGTGCCTTACCTAAACTTTCTCAGCCCCAACTTTCACCTGAGGTAACATCTAACTAGTAATACAATTATTAATGTCTGTGTATCATGATAGCTGATTTTCTCAGATTTTTTTTCATCAAGCTAGATAAAAGATCAAAACGTACCGCAAATGCTTTGTGTGCTTTCACAAAAATAAATGAGAATTCTTTGCTTTTATGACCATATAAAAAGTCATTTTTTCTAATGGTAATGTTTTAACTTTCAAATTCCACATGCACGCTAAGCAATTTTAATCTTAAATCATTGGCAAAATTGTGTTCTTTTTGAATGTGAAATCTAAGACTGGCAGTAGGATATTGCAATAATGATCTAGAACTATGTCAGTATAGCCACCTGTGGCTATTTAAATTAATTCAATAAGTAAAATGCATTTATTTCTTCAGTTGAACTGGCTGCATTTCAAGTGCCCAGTAGTCGCATGTGGCTAGTGGCTATCATGCCAGACAGGGCATATATAGACACATTTCCATCTTCTCAGAAGCTTCTACTGGACAGTGCTGGTTTAGAAGGTATCCTCTGTTCTTGGTAGAAATTTTGACAACCTAATGATCAAAAGTTTCTAACCCTGAGCTTTGTGTGCCTGAGACCAATAAGGCATTCTTTTTTTTCCCCCTATCAAACCAGAGAAGCTGTTTTCATCACACGTTGAAAGGCTAGTCTTCCAACTTATAGAAACATTGCACAACACAGTAGTTGTGTTCAGCAGAGCCAGCTTAAAATGCATCCTTATTTCCTATTGAATTCCATTATAAAATCAGATCTGTGCTGTTATGCTAGAAATCAGACTTAAGAAAAAAAATCTTTTAAGACTATTATAATTTGCAAAAACTGTAGTTTTATTTCTAGATGTCTGAATGACATTACTGCAATAGCCTTAGGTGGGATAAGAGAACTGACTTGTTTTATAACTTTTATTATAGAAATTCCTTAGGAACTTTATCACTAAAAAATTTTTGTTATGGTTCTTCCTTGATATGCAGATTATACATTGTGATACATTTTGTTATTGAATGTTATAAAGGCAATAGGTTGTCTGTGTGCCCAGCAAATCCTCTCAAAAAGGCATGGGTTGGTATCTAAAAGACTTAGCAACATGCCTCCTGTGGTTTATAAGACCATTCCCCTGAAACGTACCTATCCAGTACCATCTCTTATAAAAATAACTGCCTCTAAATACCAGTAAATTTTGAAATGCTGGTAATATGACATAAGTTCCTCATTGTTCCTCACTCAGATAGGTTTGCTTGTCTGTTATAAATTTTTTGACTAATTGGGGGATCACTTTGTAAATTATATAAATGTCTAACCACTATGCTGTACAACTGAAACTAATATAAAATAATATTGAATGTCAACTGTAAGTGAAAAGTAAATAATAAATAAGAATACAAAAAAATTATTTAATTTCTCCTGAAGTATTAGGATAATTTTGTGTAATGTGCAGTCATATTAATTAGTAAATAAAAGAAAAGCTATCAGAACCTTAGTAGGTATTTAATAAATTAATTGAATGATAAAAAATGCAGCTGTGTCTTGCTTTGTGAGTGGTGAATTTTGAAAAATGTTATTATGAACTGTATTTCAAATGTACTCTTTAGTTTTATTGTTCCAGTTCTCCATTGATTTTACAACACAGGATTTTTAATAATGCACAATATTGATTTGTGTTGTATCCATTGTTTTTTCTTGAATTACATCATCAGCTTCATAGGATGTTTCATTTGTTGAGTTTGAATTGGGGGCTTTGGTTTTCTTATTTGAGTTTCCTGCAAATACACAGAACAAAATAAAATAATTACGTGAAATTATGACACCAAATTTGACTTAAAAATAAACTTTGTAGCAACATTGAAAATATGATGTTCTGAAAATACTATGTGGATGATTGAGAATTGAATCATTTCAAACTTGTCTTTAAGCATTTCCTCCTGAAAGTTAAATGGGGAAGATATTCTGTAACAGAAGTAAGGATTCATTTCCATGCTTACCCTTCTTTCTCCATGCTTCCATGGAGGAAGCTACACATTTGATAAGAAGGTAACACTTTCTGGGTTGCTTAATAAAAGTGCAACTGTCCTTATGTATTAAGTGAACAAAACCATACTAAAGCCAATCATAATAATTTGCAACACTCTTAAGGCTTTGCCATTATCAAAAACATCATTAAAAAGAACACATGTGTATCACAATGTCATTCACTTTCATATAACTATGAATCCAGAGTGCACAAGGTTAGAGAATTTTTTTGGTGATAAAATAATGTTCTACTCCTAAACATCCAATCATGTTTCAACCATATAATTTGATTTTTAAAAGTTAATTTGTTGAAGGCACACCATTTTCTAGTTCTTGGCCCAATCAGCAAGCAAAGCTGTTGAAAATAAATGTAGTAGGGAAAGCTGGCATGAAAATTTGGTAATCTGGTAAGTTTTTGACAGTTATTTGCCAAGTAGATTTTTTAAAACATTATTTGATTCAAATTTAACTACTAAATACGTAATGGGGTGTATTCTATATGAGGACTTGAGACTGTTTTCCTCATATAACATTTGAAAGACAAAACGTAGGTTTAGTTTTCATTTGTTCAGTATTGTTTGTACTCTTCAGTATCATAGCAGGGAAAGGTCACAGGTCAAGGATATAAGATGTGCATTAGTTTCATATTACCTGTGTAGCATTTGTGCCTTCCATAAACATTAAACATCTAAAATTTGAATGTTTTATTTGAATTCCTGGAAGTCTGAAAACTAATGTTTAATTCAAGCCCTTCATGTTTCCTAAGCTTTTTACATACTTAAATTCACAATATTTTCATCAGATTTCAAGGTGTATTAATCTACCATGTCACATTCTGGTTTCATTTTTGTCTTTTTTTTTATGGTAAATAAACTCAGGAAGTTATTTCCAGACTTAGTTTGAGGTTCTCTCTAAGTCATCTCCACTCTGACAGCTCTAGTTTCCACTATGCATTTTTCTGGCAACAACTCAAAGCGTTTCCTATCCTGGCTACTGCCCCCTGAGATGTAAAGGCTCGCAAAGTACACTTCATCCAGTATTGTAGATTTTTCTCCATCTAGGATGTGTAAAGACCCCCGCCCCATTCTCCAGCCTTGACTCATTGTTTCCTTGGCTACTGGAGCTGTCTAAACAGTGTAGGTTAGGTACAAAGAGCATTTCTTAGATTGGCCTCTTAAAGCAAGACAGTTCCCCTAACAGAACCAATTTGCTATACAAACAAAAGATTTGTTATAAACACAATATGACATCATTTGAAGCAAGAGCTTTGATTAGCGAGTTAACACCCATGCTGCTCACTTTGTTCCTGCAGCTTATAAAAATCCAAAGGTGCTTTCAAAGTATGTCCCTCTGATAAGTTAGAGTAATAAATGGGACATATGGAAAAACAAGTGCAATGGGCGGGGCTGTATTGATAACACAGTCCAGCTAACGGCAGCCCTTTGGAAGGATTTTAAAAGAGAAAGGCGGAAAAGCAGCAGCAGCCTGAGCTTTTCCAAGTTTTGCTTTCATAAATAAAAGCTTATTTCTGAACTGACAAAGCACAGATAAAACCAGCTGCCTCTTTTCTGTCGCTGGGTTACAATATGGATTTGATTTAAAATAAATCTCTAATTCCATTGCGCTCCCAAGGGAACGCCTTTTCTTTATCTGAGTGTAGATTGCAATGATCCAGCATCGCTGCTTTCCTGGGTTGACAATAGTTGCTCTTTCTGCTGCTGGCTTCCCATTTTCATTCTTGGGGGGCGCGGTCTGATTATTTGAAAATCTCAGCCGTCCTTTAATCCGATACTTCTCAGACTGGCATTTAAATGAAAGCTTTAGACTTTTCCATTACTTAAATCCAATTCATCATTTAAATCACTCATCAAATAAAATCCATATATCCTCAACACAAATTCAGCCAACATATTTTTTCTGATAAGAGTTAAATTTTACATTCATTTTCAGAACCGTTCTTCAGGGATCCATTTATTCTATAGTTCGTCTATGAACTCTGCTGTTGCCTGCCATTTCAAAATATCAAACAAAAACAAACAAACAAACAAAGCTGCTGGGGCCTTCTGCAGGTCTTCATCTCCTTGCTATCTGGCATAATTGTAATTAAGCTTCTCTGCCATTGTCTGCCTGTATCTTGGCTTCTGTGTTACCATCCTGCAGTCCTACAGCAGCTACTAATTACTTACTTTATTATTTAGTAGAAAATCTACACATCCCATTCATCCCACAGTTCTTCCTAGTGGAAACAAGCAATCTTAAATTTATACCCTAAAAGGGTTTTTGCTTTGCTTTTTTGGCAAGAGGACATTTTCCCTTCAAATTTAATATGATACACCGTGGATCTGAAGTGAACAGTGAGGTGAACAAAACTTGTCTAGTAACCTACCGATGTGCTGACCTCTCCCTCCTTCAATGCCCTGCCTGCCCCTCAGGGATGTACAGTATCTTAAGTAAATATAGTTAAAAATGTATTGTGAAAGTTCGAATCTTAGACTTGCCCTTTTGCTTTGCCCGTCTATCAATGACTGAAGGTAGTTCTATCCAGAAATGTTTTTCCTGCCCTATTATTTCCACAACTGGCACTTTTTTTCTTTTTCTGCATTATTAAATTTTTCCAACTGTTGATGACTCACAATAACTAACAAAGGAATTTAGCTGATATTTTAAGTCCTTCAAATGAATTTTCACGAGAGACTAGCTTCTCTTCTTGTTGGTTTCAGCATCTGCTAGAATTGCCTAACCCTGTGCCCTGAGGAGGATTCAGATGCTAAATGGAGCAGGACCTCAGCTGAGCAATGTGACTTTCTACATTGTAGGAACAAAACAGTCATGGGAAGGTCCAAGCTCATTAAGTAGAAAGTTCCCTTTAGGAGACAGAAGTGGCCTTTTCTGGCACTGAATTCAAAATACCTGGTCTTCTACTAATATCTTAGTGACTTCTTAAAGCCTTGCTGAAGCAAAGAATGGTATTACGAAATAATTTGGCAGCCTAATTAATGAGTCTTAAGAAGAATTTTGTTGGGGAATATTAAGCCTGCTAAGAAAAATAGCTCCCAAAGTTATCTATAAATTGAGTACAAAATACCACTTGATTTTTAAAAAGTTGGCATTGTGATTCATATGTTTATTTGGAAACATGACCCTTACAAGAACAGCCCAGAAACTGAAAAAGAAACATAATGGGAGGAAGAAAAAGTCTTGCCTAATTAGATATTAAAAACCTATATAGATACAATAATTGTAAAAGTAATAAAGGGGAAGGGATTAAGAAGTAAAAATTGGTAGTTACAAAATAGTCATGGCGATGTAAAGTAAAGCATAGGAAATATAGCCAATAATATGGTAATAGCTATGTATAGTGCCAAGTGGATACTAGACTAGTCAAGGGGATCACTTCTTATAAATGTCACCAGTATGCTGTACACCTGAAATTAATACAAAATAATATTGTAATTTAACTATAATTGAAAAAGTTTAAAAGTTGGGGGGGGGAGAGTGAAGGGGAATAAGAGGTTCAAATTTCCAGATATAAAACATATAAGTCACGGAGATATAATGTACAGCATGCAGAATATAGTCAATAATATTGTGATAGTGTGGTACAGTGTCAGATGGCTGCTGGACTTATGGTGATCACTTTAGGTATATAAATGTTGAACAACTATGGTGTACACCTAATATAATGTAAGTTAGCTATATGTTTTAATAAAAATCTTTGAAAACAGAGAAAATGATAAAGCAAACATGGTAAAATAATATTTGGGGATTCTAAGTGAAGAGTATTCAACAATTCTTTGCCCTATTTTTGCAACTTCTCTGTAAATCTGAAACTATTTCAGAATAAAAAGTTTTAAAAAGTATACTACTAGCTTAATAAACTGATAAATTTAACAGAACAGAAAAATCTAAAAACAGATATTAATATATATAAGAATTTAGTTCATAACAAAGGTGATGTTTTAAATTGGCAAGAGAAAGATGGATTATCCAATAAATATTTGGACAAAAGTCTCATTTTTTGCAAAATAGAAATAAAGGCAGATCCATGCCTCACACTTTCCACCAAAATTAAAATTCCAGGATTATTAAAGATTTAAATGTTAAAAACAAATGAATAAATGTATTAGAAGAAAATGTAGGTGAATATATTTATATCTTCTAGTGAGGTTAGAACTTTCTAAGTATGAAACTAAAGGAAGGGCTGGCCGAGTGGCGCAATGGTTAAGAGCTGGCTTGGGACACCAGAGGGCCCCG